CCGTAGTAAGTGTACTAAATTTCGTTCTGATCGGAAAACCGGTTAAGGAAGTAGCCTATTTTGCAATCCAGGTCATAAACCATCTTTGAGCAAAATTTCATTTTCAAACAGTTGGAAATTCTTAAAAAAGTAGCATTTTTTCCAGTCTAGGTCATAAGCTATCTGTGTGCAAACTTTAATGCAAATCAGTTCAGCCATTTACGCGTATTAATTTAATTAAACTTTCCTAATACGTGATAACTCTTAAAATAGTAGCCTATTTTCCAACATAGGTCATAAGCTATCTGTGTGCAAACTTTAATGCAAATCAGTTCAGCCATTTACGCGTATTAATTTAATTAAACTTTCCTAATACGTGATAACTCTTAAAATAGTAGCCTATTTTCCAACATAGGTCATAAGCTATCTGTGTGCAAACTTTAATGCAAATCAGTTCAGCCATTTACGCGTATTAATTTAATTAAACTTCTTTAGCAGGTGGTAACTCTTAAAAAAAGTAGCCTATTTTTCAACCTATTTCATAAGCTATCTCTGTGAAAACTTCCATGCAAATCAGTTCACTCATTTCCGCGCATTAATTAAACTAAACATTTCTAACAGGTGGAAACTCTTCAAAAGTAGCCTTTTTTCTAACCTAGGTCATAAGCTGTCTGTGTGCAAAATTTCATGCAAATCCGTTTAGTCGTTTCCGCGTATTAATTTAATTCAACTTTTTTAACAGGTGGCAACTCTTCCAAAAAATTAGCCTATTTTCCACTATGGGTCATAAGCTATCTGCATGCGAAATTTCATGCAAATCCGTTCAGTCGTCTCCGTGTGATGATTTCCCAAACATCCAAACATACAAACTTTCACATTTATAATATTAGTAAGATAAGATTAAATATTTAGGGTACTCACAGTTTCGTATTATGTGGTGTGGTAAGTTTGCCATATACTAACTTTAAAAGAATTTGCCATCTGGTATCATTGTTTGTTTTTGTTTCGCATACAAACTAGAGATACCATTTACGGCTAAAATTGCCTTGCTTTGGCATGTGTTTATCTTTTGTGTTAAACTGGCATCACCAAACAGCTGATTATATTTTGCGACGGAAAATGGAAGCAGAAACGTTGAAAGCAAAAGTAAGTGAATTTTTGTGGTTTTTAAATAAAAATGTAAAAATATTTTATTATTTGCAGGTTAAGCAAAAGCGTATACGCAAAGCGCCATATCGAAAATGGAGCGAGTGGGAGCAGCAGCAATTGGTAAATTTTCTGCGCCAAAATAGGCCAATCGAAAAGCCAAGTGCGCAGCTTTACTACAAGCGCTTCTTGAGCGAAAATGGGCTTGAGATAGAATGGTCAACGGTGCGCAGCAAGGTCAAGAATCTGAAGCATACCTACAACAAGACATGGAACAATTCCACCGGGGCTGGGACTATGCGAGATGGCGAAACAACGCGAGGTAGGTTTCAATATTAACAATAGAGGTTTTAAATGTTGTTGATAATTTCTTGATTACATGTTTTCAGATACGCTGCTAAGGGAGTGCCCACTCTATAATGAGTTGGAAGAGATATTCGGTTATAGGGAACATCAGGCTAATGCTTTTGTACTTGATTCAGAAGACAGCAACACTATGGAATATTCCACTGCTTCAGTAGATGACGGATCACCAAATATTGTCCTCGCCCCAACAGAAGACACTTCACGAAGCCCAGCTGCGTTTTATGAAATTGTCGAAGAAAGCGCTACATTGGTAGAAACTCCGCGCACTACAGCGCAAACTCCACTAGTTCCACGTAAAGGGATTTATTCACGCACAGCACTTGCAGATGTACTTGAAGTACATTCCACATTGGCGGAGTTCAAAAAGGAGAAGCTTGTTGCGGAAAAAGAATTAAGGGAAAGGGAGCTTCTGCTGAAGGAAAAGGAATTTAATTTAAAGAAGGAGAAACATGCTACTTACGAAAGACTTAAATTATTAGAATTAGAATCGAAAGAAAAAATTGCAATGAAAGAAATAGAGATGCGGGAGCGTGTAGAGATGGAAAAATTAAAAATTCAAAAGTGAAAAATATAAAAAAGGGAAATACATGGTGAAATTATAAATAGATTTGGTAATAAAACAGCGCTCTTGCTTTATTTTCCTGACATTCGGATATCTTATAGACATTTTTAAAAGCAAATTTTCAGATAGGATAGTGTAAAATTTTTCTTATCGCTCTTATTACTACACCTGGTATAATTTCATCATGAGGGAAATAAGTATACTAAACTATTTTAAAGAAAAAAAGTGAAGTAATTACAAATGCTATAAAAGATTTACAAAATCTACAAATGTACCTAATAAATGAAATAAGTGTCAAAAATGTGAATTAGATAAAAATGAAAGAAATGTAAAAAATATAAAAAAATTATGGAAAAAAATATATACATATGTGAAAAAGTATAAATGAAAAGTGAAACGTTTTTTTTTACAAATAAAAATGCGTTATTTGTACTTGTTTAGTGTTTATTGTTTATCAACTCGGTTAAAGCAGTTCTTAAATCGTTGTAGTTATACACATCTTCTGGGTAGGTACATTCTTCTTCAGAGTCGTCTTCTGTTGAGTTTAGTTCTTGTAAAATATTATGCAAAATGCAGCAGGCTAATATCCATCTGCAGCAAGCTTTGTAATTTTTTTCATCGGTAAGCCGGAACCGGAGCTCTTTTAAACTACTAAACCTCTCCTTAAGCTTACCAAAACAATTCTCCACTCGCACTCTGAATTTCGAAAAATACTTGTTAAATTTTTCTCTTTTTTCTTGGGTTAGTTCGGTGCTATTTTGTCGAAAAGGAGTAATAACATTTCGGGTTAAGGGATACGCAGAGTCTCCGGCTATCCATTGCCTTTCGCAAAAGAAAGTTTCTGGCGTTCGTCCAATAGAAGACTCCGCAAATATTTTAGCATCATGGACACTTCCTCTGTAGCCAATGGTCGCTTGTCGAATTTTTAGGGAATAGTCGCACACTATTTGCATTTTCATCGAATACTGCTTTTTGCGAGAAAAGTAGAACTCGTGGTCCTTTATAGGAGATTCTGCCAACTTGATTTCGGTGCCGTCGATGTAGCCGATGCACCCCGGCAGCTCAAGCATTGTATTTGCAACAATTTTTTTCGCATTCTTGCAGATGGCCAAAATAAAAACTTTGATTTTAAGTTTACGATAGAGGCAACAACTCGTTGTGTGACTTTTATTATCGTTCCTGCATCGCCAACGCCAAACAAAGTTGCAACCTTCCGGAGGGATGCATTGTCTCCACTGGAGCCCAGACGGAAGAGTGTAATCTTTAGTTGCAAATCAACTGGCAATTGCGGGACCAACTTTTTATTCTTGAAGACGGGATCTTCTTTAATTAAGGTTAAAATGTGCTCGAATTCGATCGGTTCAACACGCAGCATTTGACGCATACGGCTGTCATCGAAGTTAGGAAGAACATTTTCTCGCCATTGCACGGATTTTGGGACATTAAAATGGCAACTTCTTCGCGATGATAACACAAGTGCTGAGGTAAGAGTGAAGTCAATGAGGACATCATCATCCTCATCTTCACTGCCTGCAAATCAAAGGTTTAGGAGATCGCTTGTAAAATTGTAAAATTAACTTACTCGAATCTTGAACTATTACGTCCATCAAACTCTTAAAGCATAACGCATTCAATAAATTATCTTTTCCACTCTGGCGAGGCATTTTTTCGTTTCGATTATTAGCAGTGCCAAACTTAAAATTCGAAATTCATGAAGGGGTGCTCACACTTCAACTGTGGTATCTTTCTAAAGTTGCCACCTTTTAACTTTAGAAGTAAACTGTGAGTACCCTAATTGTTCAGCGCCATCATCGGATAGCAGTTTTGTATTCATACCTTGTTCAAAATTAGTATATTCATTTTTCCTGGCCGAAGGGGAAATTTTTTTTAATAACGGTGTCGCCTACGGTACAGTCTGAATACGCAGAATTTTGTCGATTACTGGAGCCCTCAGTGTTGCTTACTACAGTGTTGCCACTCATAAATGCCTCTTCATAAACTTATCTTTTCAACTACAATTTTTCGTGCTATAATAGATTGTAGCTAAATATAAACTCTAAACTAAATTTCAGATATTTTAAACATATTTTGAATAGGAACTTATAACTTTTTTACCATCTACAAAACTGATGAAGTGGCAACCATCTACAGAAGGAAGAAATCAGCTGTCACGGAAAAATCTAAATTCCGAGTGCTTCACACGCTTAACCTGAAAATTTCAAAGCCACTTTCTTTGCACTGGTCGATGCCACTGCAATTGAAAAGAAATTAGCAATGATAGAATTAAAAATGGCTTGACGCTTAGAAGCCGAATTAAAGACTTAAATTTCCTTGACATAGGTCTCATTTTTGCGGTTAGCAAGACACTATTCAAAGTTAGCTTTAAGCAGCAAACAATTTTTTAGTTTGTGAAAACTTAAAAAAAGTGGGCTGCGACCTTTCGTTCCCAACACATCATTTGAGTCATATGGGGTGATTAGAGGAGTACCCCTAGAATATGATGTGAATGATAATAAAAAATCTGCAAACTCTAGCGTCCGATTTCTTCTGTCTATCGGTTTATACGTAGAGAAAAAAGAGTGACAATGAAGATATTTTTGTACCAACTACCACTATCAAAGTTGGCTTTTTAGGAAAAGACATTCCAAGTTTATCAAGCACGAATATACTAGGCTAGAAGTTTCTTTTTACATTCCTTCTCTAAGGCAGTGTAGAAAATATGTCAGCCTTGGTCACACGCAACTAGGATGCAAATCAAAAAGTAGATGCCTCAAGTGTGGCAATCAGGAATGTAAAAATGCGTGTAATCAACAAGGCTGCATTCTTTGCGGTAAGGAGGATCAAAACTCCAAAGACAAGGACAAAGTCGGGCATGGCAAAAGGAGCTCCTGATCAGTCGCATTAGGGCGGTTAAGAAACTTCCTAGAAAAGAGGCAATTGATACTTATTTCCCGAACAGAAACAACAGGCTCGACATTTTAGAAAATGAGCAGGCTGAATTACCTCAGTTAGGTGCTGAAGAAGTGATAATGGACAAAAACCAGTTTATTAATAGACATATAGCAAGGTGACAAGATGCCTCAAGTACCGAACCGGCGACCTTTAGACGCAACTTGACATCAAGGCAGGCGGTGGTACAGTCTGTCTATGAAACGCCAGAGTACAGTAAGAATAGGGTTACGGAAATGGAAAAATTACTATCCGAATTCCTTTAATCTGTTCATATAACGTTTTTCTATGTAATCAACAGTTTTGCCGGTAAAAATAAATGTGTGAAGAAAAAAAATATTTTTTGCCTAAAATATTAAATTTTTTTATTTTTTAAATTCATAAAAAATCAAAAACGGAAAAAGAGGCAAGTCGTATTACTTTCACGCAAAGTCACATAACCTTTAAGCAAATTTATCACTTAATTGTGAATAAAAGCGAAACGCGTCCATCGATTTTCATGATCTATGTCTCATTTTGCTTAAAGGTTATGTGATTTTGCGTGAAAGTAATAGGACTTGCCATTTTTTCCGTTTTGAATTTTTTATGAATTTAAAAAATAAAAAAATTTAATATTTTAGGCAAAAAATATTTTTTTCCTCATACATTTATTTTTCCGGCAAAACTGTTGATTGTATAGAAAAACGTTATATGAACAGATTAAAGGAATTGTAATTTTTAATTTTTTTAAATTTGTTTGAGCAAAATCGGACTAGTGGTTCTCGAGTTATGTCAAAAAAAAAGACCACCAAAGGTGACAATTTCCCTTATATGATAGTTACTAACTTCAAATCGATATATCTAGATTCCTAGACGTGACCCAGCGAAACGCCGGGACACGTATAACTTCTTTTTTACCGATATAACTTTCCCCGGTAGTTTGAACCCTTCCCGATCACTGACCCCTACCATTTGTCTCACAGTGTTATGAAACATGTGTTGGCATTAGCTGAGGGAAAAGACGACATTTCAGAGTTCTTAAAAATTTAACTTCAAAAGACGTACTGCGCAATAAAATTGATTTTAAAGAACAAAAAACTCAATCTGGATATAGTGAACAATCTGCATTTTATGAACTGGTCTTGCATTAATTAGTTCACTCGACCCAGATAGCACTGTATATACTTGTGACTCAAGGCCGTTAAAATATCTTGGAAACACCGCATCAGTTATTGTTTTTGAGCTTATAGTTTGAGCATTTCTATTTGTATATATTCCTAAATTTACCATAATAGACTACTAAATCTATGCCTAAAACCATCTACGAATATCAAAACCAGGGCATGAATCACGTATGACGACATTCGTCTGAACGATATCGTGTCGAGATTGTCTTACTTCATAAAAATCAAAAATTGTTTGATCGTTTGTGCGATATCGTCAACTCGATTCCAGTTTTGCTTCACGTAACAGTAACAGTAGCCGTCATCGATTCGCCAACAGTTAGCGAGTGGCGAAACGAACGAATACAATGAGGTACAACCAAACTCGCAATCGTCTATCCGTGCTAGCTAACTTTGTTGTTGCTTTCACATGC